GGGGGGGGAGAAGAGGGTTGATTATGTAACCTCACGGGCGGGAGAGGGCGAGTCCTGAGAGGCTATATGTGGGAGGGGTGTCCCAGTTCACGCCTGGGTCCAAAAGTACTGTGGGGGGCAGGGCAGGACCCCAATTGGGTCCAAAAGTACCTTAAAACCTTCTCCTGGAGGAAAGGTTACCCCATGGAAAGTTTGGTTGCAGTAGGTCTTATAGTGTCTAAGTTATTAGTGCACAAACATACAAACATTCTCCTTTATATATTAGATTACAAGACTTAACTCAAACCTGAGTTTAGAGGGCTTGCAGATAAACCCCTAGAACCAATTGTTTACTCCTACTGCACGACTCGGTACCACAAATTCCATCCCACTCAATGGCCAAGATTGAAAAAGTTTATTGCAAAATTATACAATTTAAAGAGTTTTATGGTACAAGAATTCAAAAAAAAAAAAAAGCAGGTTTCCATTCACATGCTGCAAATTCACACATGTTCTCCACACTCCCACCCTCTCCTGTATGAATGTGCAATAGCACATGGTTTCAGTGCATTTGTCTGAGCATGCACCCTGCAACATTTGGTGCATTCTGATACATGCTCATGTTCACCCTCTCTTCCCCCCCCCCAGTTGGAAATTGTCAGAGCTCAAAACTGGAGGTATTAAGGACAGCACTGCCTGCTGGGCTGACCTGTATGTGGTTTTTGGCATACATGTTTTACTGCACTTCTTAAACTTCAGCTACTTACCAATTTTGGCCCCCAGATTTTAGTGTATATCCAAGATTGATTAACAGGAAAGGTTTTCTCAAAGGATTGTAGAAGTCACTTTAACAAATTAAACCTCTGAAAGCCAAATACTGCAGTATTGGGCTTGTGTCTGAAAACTTGGAAGTGAGATAAGACAAGAAATAGTTTTACTGACCACCTTGGCTACTTATCCGCATCAGTGACATGGAAAATAGATTTAAGCTGACAAACAATCAAACCCTTTGTTCTCCAGCGTGGCTGTGCCATTAGACATGCACTTAGGCATTTGTGAGATGATGACCACTGGTCATTTTAAATACAACCTTTAAGCTGGTAATGTCCCATGGGGGAAAAATGTATTTGCTCCAGCAGCTTGAGGCTGGAGTTGGAGAAGAATTTGTGCATACATACCAGAACACAGCTCTGTGCAATTCAGCCAGTGGGGCATGAACATTCTTGGAGAGATCCTAGTGTAGAAAGGGTCGTTAGGAAAACAGGCTATGGCAAATCTAAGGTCTTCTTATTTCAGAAAAAAAGCAATGAACAAGCGCTAGCCCCCAATTAGAGGAGTCCGTGGCAGTCTTCCCCAAGGGAGATGGTTCGGGCTCTACTTTGCTAGTCCTCCTTGCAGAGAGAAGTTTCACAATGTAAACTGTGTTTCTTGCCCAGTCTGTCCTGACAAGACTGAAACAAAAGCACCAAGTGATGTGAACTTCCTCCTCTCCCTTTGGTGTTATCGAATCCTTTCTATAGCAGGCCTGGTGCTGATGAGTTATCAGCTGGATACTCTCCCAGACTGAAATCATGATCCACACAGCAGGCAGAGAACACAGCTAACTGCGGAGCAAAATCACCCCCCTTCCCCACCAGTGCCTCCTCTCTGCTTAAGCGCTCACATGAAAAAGGATCTTTCATCTCTATGGCCCATTCAGTCCTTGCTCCCTTAGCTGAGACAGTTCACTGCTGCCTAATTGAAGAGGGAATTTTTAAATGCAATTCCCAGTGATGCAGATTTTTGCAAGATTTCAGCTGCCCATGGGTAAGAAAGGGACAGGCATTTTTTACTTTGTGTTCAACTTAAAAGTTTTTTGGGGGGATATGACACACAGTTCAGAGTTAAGCGGTATAGGGAGAATTCTATTTGTTCTTATGTGGGTCACAGCATCAGAGCACCTACTTACATGTATGGCAGTCTGTTTTCCCTGCCCTAAAATAACCAGTTTAGTTAAACCGACTGGTAGGAGCTCATTTCTCCTCACCCTTAATCTGCACCCAGTGCCTCCGCAGTGGTGAGTGGATGTAAGTGGGAGCAGCCTCAGTCCTTGCTGCTCCCTTGGACACAGAACTTCAAGGAGGTAACAAATAAAGGGACTAGGCACCATGAATTCTAGCTCAGCTAAGAAACCCCCAGGACAAGGAAGCAGGAATAAGCTATGGCAGTAAGCAAGCTGTCCGCTGCAAAATTGCCAGGAAAGAGGGATGGGAAAGCCAGCGCTCCATGTGTCTAGAACAAAAGGCACAATAAAGACTGATGCGAGTGTGTGGGCGGGTACCTTTACCGTGGCCTCAGCTGACAGTTTGCATCCCAGCAGGTGGTACCATCATGCTTGGCTTAAGGATTTATGCTAGTGCAGGAAGGAGGAAGAAGACACAGCAACCTATCATCTCAGCAGAAATTCCACTGATTGGGAACAGAAGCCCATTGAACAGGCCCTTCCCATTGTTCATGGTCTTTCCCCTCCCCCCACCTCCCCTGTTCCTCCCATGCATTTTCTTTTGGTGGAATATTCTGGCGAGGTAAAGTGTATGTTGGATTGAACATCAAAATGCACTCTGGTCCGGCTAGCACCCATCAGTTTGTAGAGAATACAAAATAACATTTCCCCATTTAAAAAATCCCCAACAAAACCTGACCCTTCAAACTACAGTTCATCGCGCATTTTGTCCCCTTTGGGCCTCACTAGCCTGCCAATGAAAAGAATGGAGTTGGTTTTATTGTCCTTGATCACAAAGACGAACGGGTGATCGGCGTAGAAGAGTCTGGGGTTCCTCATTTCTTCTCGGCCATAGATGTCAGCGTCAAAGGGGTTCCCCTCGGTGTCCCACTCGAGGGCCGCGGCGTGGAAGACATTGGAAAGGTAGAGATCTTTCTTGCCTGAAATCTTGGACAGGTCAGCTTTGTTCTTGTCAATGGCTTCCGTCAAACCAAGGTCTGCCAAGTGTTTCTATGATGAAAGACAGGCAGGTTAGTCTCCTATGGAACACTCCTATGTTCCACTAGCTAGCTTCTGCTCTCAGCAATGAACAGAGAATAATGCCCCTGCATTCAAGGAATAGAGCTACATTTCTGGGGTTGTGGGCAGGATGTGTCTCCTGGGAGCCTGAAGGGACCATAAGGGAGTTGATGGAGGAGGTTCCCCCCACCCCTCGCTTTTGCAAACTTGTAAATGAGTCGGGTAAAATAGCAATACACCCAGGGCTTCACTTGGAGCCAGGCAGCCAGTTAAGCCGAATTGTTAGTCTAGGTTTTCACTGAATAATGCAGTATTAAGTAATAAGCTTACTATGTAGAGCAAGCCAACTTGCGTATAAAACACCTCTAATTGCTCCACCTTCGCTCCCTTGTATGCAGGCTGGAGAAGAGAGCTCCCAAGTTCAAGGACGGTGGGGATTGGGTTACAATTTTATATGCAGATCAGATCAAATCAGTGTATTATGGGCTCCTCAAATGTAGTTCTTAGAAGTCCTGCCGGGGTATCCTAACATGCCATCCACTCAGGGAAGCTCCCACGGCAGAAATCATAGTCCTCTCTTCCCCACCATCCTGGACTCTTACAACCATCCCAAAGATGGCAGAAATGTCTCCATAAGCCAGTCACGTGCCACTTCCAAGCAAACCATGAAGGAAAGACCCAGGAACCCCAGTAGTAGCCAGTCTGGTTTGTGGCATCAAGAGAGGCTTTACCTGAAGATCGTGGCTGACTTCCAAGCTGACTTTCGGCAGGGAAATAGCCACGGCTCTCTTCTTCAACTTTCCGATCCAAGTTTTCAGTTGCTCTCTAGTGAGAAGCTTCTCAACTCTCTCCAGTGGCTCCACATGGTTCGGCATAATGAAGATCATGCTGGAGAGTTTGTGAGCGAGAGGCATCTCTACAATCTGAAGTTTCTCAGTTTCATCATCAAAGTAGTTGTACAGACCTTAAGGGAAAGAATCACAAGCAGAGACAATAAGGCTGTGTCTACATTGGCAAGATTTAGTGCAAAAGCAGCTGCTTTTGCGCAAAATCTTGCTGCCTGTCTACACTGGCCACGAGTATTTGTGCAAGAACACTGACGTTCTACTGTATGAAATCAGTGCTTCTTGCACAAATACTTTGACGCTCCCACTCAGGGATAAGTCCTCTTGTGCAAGTGTTCTTGCGCAAGAGGCCAGTGTAGACAGGTAACATACACTTCTTGCGCAAGAAAGCCCGATGGCTAAAATGGCCATCGGAGCTTTCTTGCGCAGGAGAGCATCTACACGGGCACGGATACTTTTGCACAAAAGATTTGCTTTTATACACATGCCAGTAAAAATGCTCTCTTACTCAAATACTCTAACGCAAAAACTCTTGCATTTAGAGTATTTGCGCTAAATCTTGCCAGTCTAGACATAGCCTAAGGGTGAGTCATGGGGAGCAGCTAAAGCTACCAAAACACAGTTGATAGTAACTGACATGTGCTACTAGTCAGATCTCTAATGCTCCTATTCTAGGTCTAGGACATTCTAGGTGTTCCTAATGGACAAGACACCATCTCTAAAGCCATCCTAATCAATGCCATTCTCCTAGCGTGTACTAAGAGTTAAGTGTAAAACTGCATAGCTCTGTCTCATCTCAAAGCTGATGGGGCAAGAAAAACAAGTGAAAAGTTCACCAAGTGGACTAACATCATCTCTGGATTTAATCTAGTGATCTTGGGCCAGGGAGCATAAGCTAAAATTTACCTGTGCGGTGCATCATGGGAACTCCCACTGTGTAGGAACGGGTAACCATGAAGCCACGGTTGTCTACCATCTTGTGGTGGAACTTCTCATCCCAGTGAGCTATAAATATAGGAAAAGGAAAACCCATCCGTTAACAAGAAATGGAAATGTGCTGTGTCGTCATGCACATCTCTACCTTCCCGCAAGGAACTCCCTAGACCGGTGAGCATCTGAGAGCCCATAATTTGTCTTACCAAAGAGAATATGGCTCCATCTAGTGCAGCTTCTTTTCTCTGGCAGTATAACAGACACTTTGAATTTTAAAAAATCCTATTTTTGTTATTGTGGTAACTTGAAGTGATAATGGACTAGAAGAGAATTCCTAGCCAGCCCCCCAAAAAGTCTTCTATTCTGTAGCCTGAAGTTTATTTATCCTCCCATCAATTTTGACCAATTTATTTGACGTATGTCCTCTGAAGTTTCAGATGAGAAAATAAGATTTCTATTGTGAACTCCAATGGCTTCTATGTTTCATCCTAGTACATTTCACTTGTGGGGGAAAGATCTCTCCACCATGTAAACCCCTATAGAGTCAAGTAAACTCTTGGAGCCTGAGTCTCCTCCCACTTGCACCAGTGTGACACTCCAACTGATTTACACCAGTGTAAATGGAAGCTGAATTCGGCCCTTGCATCATGTATGTCTAGATTAAGAATAGGAGTCGAAGCCCGGTATGGCTCAAGCTGGCTAGGGGGCGCTATCTGCACTTGCTCATGCCTCTCCCTCATTTCGAGCACCCTTGGCATTTAACTTACGCTTAAAAAACATGGCATTCACGATCAGGGCCCCATCGGTCTTCTCCACATCTTTGGTCACCTCGGGGAGCTTGCCATCGGTGGTCTGGGATGCCCACTCGTTGATGGATTTCAGGGCGCTCCTCTTGTCCCTGAAGTTGATCTTGGAGTGTTCGTAGTTGTAGTGCTTCTTGCTGCTCTTCACAAAGTCATCAGCGAAGTTGATGGAGCTGGGGCCGTACAAGCGGTTCCCGAGCTTCCAGGTGACGTTGCGGGCGGTGGAGTTGCTGACCTCACTCAGGAGCTCTGACAGACCGCTGTGCACGTACTCGTCGTTTAGTTTGTCGGCGCTGAGCACGGCCTTGGCTTGGGAGGCCGTGGTGGCCTTGCCACCGAGTGACACAAGGCCCAGAGAGGAGGCCACCACCACGGGAGACACCAGGATGTTCTCTGTGTTCTTGTCTTTCGCCATGGTGTGGTAGAGGTTGAAGGCGAGAGTTGCGCTGCGATCGGCTAAGGTGGCTGCCTTGTCACTCAGCTTCTTATCTTCCGAGGGCACTGCAGCCACGAGGGCGCAGAGGGCCAGAAGGCTGGTCACCCACATGGCTTCCACCAAATGTGACAGTGCTGTGAACCTGCAAGGCAGCGAAAGGCGTGGCATCAGTCAGACCACGTGCCATTCCCAAAGCCATGACAGCATCTAGACTACTCTAAGTTCAGACACCCTTAGTTAACCCCTCTGGAAAGCCAAATAGCATTTGTGATGCAATCTGATCTGCATCAGTGACTTGCTTCCAATTTAATACTTTTAACAGGGTCCAATTTCCAACCAGGCTTCTGCCCCGTGGCCCCCTTTTTTGCAGGTACGAAGCTACACCCTCAGAAATGGTCCGTGCAATTAACTGCGGGAGTAAATCATATGGTGGGAGAGCGGAATGTTCGCTAACGCTTGAGAGTCCAAATTCCATTCTGAAATGTGGGGCCTGGAACAGTTTGAATGCACACCTGCTTTCTAACTAACTCACTGGTCTGCTTGGGGACTATAAAGTGAAGGAATCAGGCGGTTGGGTGCTTCAAAGACCCAGATGATAGGATGGAGTTTTTTCAATTCTAGATCAGGCTTCGTGCTGTTTGGTGGAGCAGAGGCCACTGAGGATCCCTGCTGTTTGGAGGCCTAGTGGCCACCACACTCAAGATAGAACATTGCAGGCTGGAGGATCAGTCCTCTCTGCAGACTGCAACTTTATAGAAGATGATGTGGTGGAAACCCACTCAATTTATGCCAAGTCAGACTGAGCTCTTTAGACCCTGCAAGCCGCCCACATTTGAACAAGCAAGTAATCCCTGGGACTTGTCCATTAGCACCCCCAAAAGCAGGCTTACGTGCTGCTGCCAGCCTGCTAGACTTATTCTTTGGGCTCATGGGTGCTCCAACAGGCTAGGGAGCTCAAAATCTTCCCAATGCTTGTGTAGGGCAGGGGTTAAATTCCTTTTCTCTGCCTGAGACTTCATTTGTTGTATGATGTTATCTTGGTGGAAGTCAAAGACCTAATGCTGAATAATTCGTAGCAGTGAATGAGCTCCATTCTTTAGTCATTCTTCTCCTGGGAGGCTGCTTTGAAATTCAGTTCCTGGCATGCAGTGGCAAGAAGCAGCTAGAATGGCAGCGCTAGGGTTAAAGAAAACAGAACAGGAAACAGAGGAGGGCCCAAGGAAATGCATACACAAAAGAAAGCATCTGTGCACGTAGCCACATTACAGTTCACAGGATCAAAGAAAGAAAGCCTTAGGATAGGGTTAATTCACAGCCTAAGATCCCTTCGATACTAAAGCCTTGATGAACAACTGAAAATGAAAAGCGGCGCATTTTACTTTGCCCTGGCTATCCAAAAGAAAGACTTAGTTAAGACACAGACACCAGTTAATCCCCCCCATCTGGGTGCGGGGCTGGGATTATGCAGTTAAACAGTTTCAAACTTTTGTTTGTGTTTTTGTGTGTTCTTCTTCTAAAGATACCTTGAAACTTTTTCATAGTGAGGTCAACGTTTGCCTTTTTCATTCTGAAAGAAAACAGATACAGAAAGTAGTTCCCTTGAGAATGGCACCTGGTTGTAACACACAAGCTAGAACTTTAGGACAGTTCCATTACTTCGGTGGGCAATGAAATCTAGTCACCAGCCAAGAAGCTGCTGCAGCTGCCATGCCCAAACTTTGCCTGCAGCGGGGCTGCTCGAGGAAAGGCGCAGGCCCTAGGACAGGTCTTGGCCTGTTAGGCTCCATCCTGTTCTGAGCAACATCTCCTACCCTTGAATTATATGAAGGGGGGGAGGGGTGTTAGTGAGACTACAGCATTGGCCTGTGTGTTATAATTTAATGCCATTCTGATCTTCAAGGAGCTCCTTCCTGATTGCCTCCACACACACCCTGTACTCCCCAGGGTCCCAGTCTGCCGTGAGATGCATGCAGGCAGAGCCCTGTGCCAGCGTGGCAGGTCTATCCGTCCTCCCTCGCCCCCCCCACACAGATCAGAATAAACCACAAGACGAAGTGACTCACACCTATGTAATAAGCAAATGCCGCTTGGGTGTTAGTAGAGATCTTGCACTAAGACAGCCGCAGGCTTTGCATTTTTGACACACAGTTGGTTTTAGTTCATAATAAGAGAGAACAAAGAGCGGCCTTGAAGGCGGTAGCTTTCCTCCCTGCTCTGCAGCAGTTCAGTCTTTGGGCCCAGGGGGACCCAGGGCTCTCGGGCCAGAGGGAGCAGTGGATACTGGTTTAATGCTAGCTCTGAGCTGGAAAGAGGCGCAGGGAACGGAGCTGGTTGCTGGACACTGCTCCTATTCTATTTGCCTCCTTTTATTTCACTCTCATTGCTTGGGATACTTCCTCCCCCTCCCCCTCAGGATCTGTGAGAGTCACTGGCATCCCCTTCCCATGGCAGCCTCTGGTTTCAGGGCAGCAGGACCCTTCTGGGTAGAGCAGGAGAGGCTGCTGCCCTTGCATCAGTCTAGCCCAGACCTGCCACCCACAAACTGCAAGAAAGCAACCACTGCAGCCACAGAGTTGAATACCCTGAACCACACAAAGCTCATCAGCCGCTCCTTCCTCCCACATCCTCCACAGGGTCAGGGTGGGGCATGTACCCATAGACGTAGGACTGGGAAGTACAGGCACAGGGGGTGCTGCAGTATCCCCCAGATTTTGCACCCCACACTGGGGTCCCAGACACCAACCTGCACCGGGGGCCCTGCTGCCACCCAATGTCCTGGCAGCCAGCCCCATAGACTCTGCCTTTTAACCCTGGGGTCCTGATAGCCCTACCGCAAGCCCTCAGGGTCACCCTGGGGCAGTGAAGGACATAAATAAGATAAGGTGGGGCCACGGGGAGGGTGCAGCTCAGGCCCCCCAACTAGAATTGTTCCATCCAGACCCTCCCCACACTCCAGCAAACCCTGGGGAGGAGGCGGGAGCGGGTGGGGGAGGAGGTGTTACCACCACTCCCAAACTTTCTAGGCTGTTTGAACAGACTCCAGGAGAGAGCAGTCCATGACACCAGCCCTTCTCCAGCCATCAATCCCATTCCCAGGGACGTTCCCTTCTGCCCCCCCATACTGGGGCTTTCCCGGCAGCTGGGTGATATTCCCTGGGACCCTCTGAGATTCTGGGTCTTCTGCCCTCCCCCCACTCTTTGCAGGGCCACTCTGGGGTGCTGTCCCCACCCGCTCTTCCCACCCAGCCTGCCCCAGGGACACGCTGGGATGTCCCCTCTCCCATGCACACCCACTCTACCCCAGGGCCACTCCGGTCTCCCTGCACATGCACAGCCGACACTGCGGGATACCCCCCTACACGCACAGCCTGTCCCGGGGACACTGCGGGATACCCCCCTACACGCACAGCCTGTCCCGGGGACACTGCGGGATACCCCCCTACACGCACAGCCTGTCCCGGGGACACTGCGGGATACCCCCCTACACGCACAGCCTGTCCCGGGGACACTGCGGGATACCCCCCTACACGCACAGCCTGTCCCGGGGACACTGCGGGATACCCCCCTACACGCACAGCCTGTCCCGGGGACACTGCGGGATACCCCCCTACACGCACAGCCTGTCCCGGGGACACTGCGGGATACCCCCCTACACGCACAGCCTGTCCCGGGGACACTGCGGGATACCCCCCTACACGCACAGCCTGTCCCGGGGACACTGCGGGATACCCCCCTACACGCACAGCCTGTCCCGGGGACACTGCGGGATACCCCCCTACACGCACAGCCTGTCCCGGGGACACTGCGGGATACCCCCCTACACGCACAGCCTGTCCCGGGGACACTGCGGGATACCCCCCTACACGCACAGCCTGTCCCGGGGACACTGCGGGATACCCCCCTACACGCACAGCCTGTCCCGGGGACACTGCGGGGACTGCCTCGCCATCCCAAGGAGATCCATGGGGCGGGGCGCCCCCACATCTTGCTACCCCCTCCCCTGCCCGATGACTGCAGCCCCGTGCCTGAACCTCC